AATGGAACTGGTGTTTTGGGGTTCAATTTCCAGCCGAGGCCGTTGAGTTCTTTCTCACAAAAAATAACCTTCATAAATATACGAATCTGTTTCTTTCCCTTACTCACCGGCTGTAGGTTAATAGCCGTCTCTTTCTTGAGGTGGCTACCACTCTGATAGAAGAGGAAAATTCAACGGAAAACCAGTACACCCTCTTTCCCAAGAATGCAAGAGTCAATTCAAAGACAATAAACAAAAGGAAATCTCTTTTGAATCATGTTCGCCAACTTGGTGAAGGAACGTGACATTTAAAAAAAAAATCGTAATTCTTCATTGTTTTTTTTAATTTTTAAACATTTCTCATTACTCTTTCAGTGAGTTGTATAATCCTATTATTTTCTTTTATCTAAAGAAGAATCACCAATATTATCTATCATGATCTAGCGTCCGGATTTTTAGTCACTTTATGTTGTGGAGTAAATAGGACACCCATGGTACACATAAGTGAACTAGTCAAGACGCCTTGACAGAGCAGCCCCTGAGCGCACTCTGTCCAAAGACAGAGACGCAACTGAGAGATGATAATTAAACGTGAAAAGAAAGAGTTAAAAAAAGAAAGAGCTTAAACGGAAAATAAGGACCTATATACATCAAATTAGCTTTAAATTAGGTGCATAAGAATTATAGGTTTTGATTTGTCCTTCTTCTAGATCAATTGAGTTCTTCTACTAGACCAGATGGCATACTAGAAACACAGTCTGTACTGCTATTTACCGATAGCACCAAGAACAGAAATCATATTAGTACGTAAGTGAATGAAATGGATTCGACGGAATTCGAACTCCTCAATCCGGTTCGCTATCCATTTCTCCACCTGTCTGTGTATATATATATATATATATATATATATATATATATATATATATATATATATATATATATATATATATATATATATATATATATATATATATTATATATATATATATATATTTTATATATTTTATAAGAATGAGTATGTGCTGTATGTTTTAATCTTCTAATTTAATCTATTTTTTAATAAATACTTTTTAAAAATATTTTTGATTTTTCCTCGTGTCTGTTACAATATCATAACAGTATTCTATATGCGCAAAACCGCAAGGATTATATCTATATTTCTTCTTAGCATATATATTTGGTACTGTCATGAGATCGCTGGAAAATGAGCAGAGCAGAATAATAACGTCCTTTAACTTGATAAAAACAAAATTTTATCGTCAAAATGTTTGCACTTTATTAAGATGAAAGAACAAAGTAATTTTTAATTAATTGCCAAAATTTTCCTTACTTTCGTAGAGCATTCTAACTTTTGATTGAAAAACCTAGTTTCTCTTCATCAGCGAATGTCCTAATAAATAACATGGCGGATTTTTGTCCATTTTTTTCTAATGGCAGTCATTAATTTTGAAAACCTTGCAAAAATAAAAATAATTGTCGGATTTTAATGAAACTTTCAGAAACTATTCATACATGATAGGAATTATTACAAATATTTTCATTTTTTTAAGTCATGGTAAAATCTTTATTTTATTTTTATTACCTCACCCCATAACTACTTTTATGAAAACTCTTGAAATTCAAATGTGTACATTTTTAGCGATTAATTAGTTAAAAGCACAAATCATTTTTTTAGTAGACACACTTCTAACTTAAAATCAGCTCTGAATTGTAAGATACAAAACAAAGATATTATTTAATTTCAAAAGCTTTTAGTTGCTTTTACTTGTTTTAATGAATATGTAAAATATTGTCTGAAAGCAAAAAGTGTTTTCTATGAAAAATAAATTTTTACAACAATTATTTGTTATTTCTTAAATTATTATTATTTTTTTGTTTTACATTAAAGTTGTTCAGTATTCTAAAATTAATGAAAATGTACAGTTTAGACAACAGTGTTATTAAGTAGATAAATATCATTACAGATTATAAAATAATGCTGGTTACAATCAGCAATCTGCAAATAGATAAAAATCTAATAAAACATGTTTTTTTGTGTGTCCAAAAATAGCTTATTTCAAATATACAGAAGACCGGAACATCATGAAAACTATAGTCCGTCACTTGGTTTGCGTTGGTAGTAACATAAACATTTTGACTATAAAATTCTGCTTTCGTCAAGTTTAAGGCCGTTTTTATCGTACTATGCCTACTTAAAAATAAGAAGGTAAATAAGTTGTTCGCGTAAAGCTAAACTCTCACCTGTGACCATCCGTACTATAATTTTTCCTCGAGTAAGATATCAGTGCGTGATGAATCACGTACATTTCAATTGTCAATCAACACCACTATTATGACCGGCTTTCTCTCATTTTAAATTACGTGTTTTCAGCGCAGAAATTAAGTAATGTTTGTTTCAAAATATATTAAATAAACTTTCTAATTTCTAATTTTCTTAAATTATTTAAAATAAAAATCATAATTGATTTTTAAGAGAATTTTAAACGGAGACTTTCACTTTTGTAAAAAAAAAAATTAAAAAAATGGCTGGCAATCGATTTTCTGTCAATTTAGCTGATCAAAAAAATACAAGATTTTTAAATAAAATTTTGGACGTGCTAGAAATTATTAAAAAAATGCAAAAAATAATCAGAAAATACTTTGATCTTTCCTCTTAATAATAGCATGAACATTTCGATGATTAAAAATTTATTTTTATCAAGTTAAAGTCCGTTATTATCCTGCTCTGCTCATTTTTCAGCGATCTGATGCAATTTTCTAATATATATATATATATATATATATATATATGTCTGTCTGTATGTATGTATGTATGTATAGTTTCTTCCTTCTGAAATAGTCAATAACTTTATATGTTCTATAACAGTCACTTTACACGTTGGTATACTTAAAATAAAATCTCCTTTGTTTACAATTCTAATGTTGGGAAGGTTTTTTTTCGTCAAAAATCAATGTAAAACGAAGAAAAATTTACATTATTCGAACTATTGTCGTCATCTTTGTTGCCATATTTATTACAACTTTTCGGCCGTTGTACGCTCCGGCCTTCTTCAGGTGGTTGGAATGTCGAACTGAACCCTTTATTTTGTTGAAAGTGTTCAGTTCGACATTCCAACCACCTGAAGAAGGCCGGTGCGTACAACGGACGAAACGTTGTAATAAATATGGCGACAAAGATGAGGACAATAGTCCGAATAATGTAAATAATGTACATAATACCACATCTCAGAAATATAGACAGACTCTGAAGAAAAATTTGCTGAACATTTATGTAATATCTGTCCTCCCACATGGCAGTGAATGTAGGACAGTCTTCTCACAGATGACAAAAAAAAACCTTATCCAATAGAAATGTAGCTCTACATTAAAGTGCGGATAATACAATGGGCAGAAAATGCGAATAACGTAGAAGTTATATGAAAAATGAAAACAGAAATATAAACATAACGAACACTTATACATAGAATCAGGTAGAGGTATTTGAAATTTCTATGAAATATAATGAGGAAAGCGGAGGTGGTTGACCTACTGAAAGGACTTAGGACAGGGAGAAACAGCGACTAAGTTTTGTAGATGGTTGGCTGGACAGAGTCTGTGAGTAATAATGAAAAGACAAAACCTATTAAGAGCTACAAAGGAGACGAAGTTGCGGAGAGCCACGCTCGTCCACATCTTGAAAGAACACACACATTGTAGAAGAATAATACTGTGAATGTACACCACGAAATGATTTGCGTTCTCTTTTCCCGGTAGAGTAATAGATAGCTGCTCAGATTGAAAAATCGGAGAGTCGAGTTCGAATTCCAGTCGAATCCATTACATTCACTTACGTGCTACTACACTTGGGAAAGGTATGAATACTCTTCTACTCCCCCCAGCTATGGGTAAATAGAAGGGCAGACAAGGTTCTATGGACTTGGATGGCTTCAAAGAAATGGCAACTTACTCCGAGGAAAATTTGCCTAGTCAGTTATGTATCGAAAGATATATGATTGCCTAAGCTTGTATCACGCATGGAACATAATTGTCAGATGTCCGTGAGCTAAATGGTACAATACGTGCATTACTCTTCGTCTAGCCTATAGTAGAAGGACCTTGAATTAATTTAACTCCGGCAGGTCGAACGAATATCAAGAATGGTCAGAACCCTTACGCCCTTTTATAGCTTAGTACGTGATGACTTAATCCTGGAGAGACAGACAGACATATGGATAGACACAGTCACGAACACATAAAAAAATAGACAGAGAAATAGAAAGAGAATCTTGGAGAGATGTTGAAGAATATGCAAAACGAAAATAAGCGAGAGATAAAATAATTAGAAATCGGTTATTCTTGATGCAAATTTTGATGATGAAAATGATGAGAAGCTCTAGCGATCCGTAGAATTGAGACCTGCGTTGAATAAAAGAAATGAAACCAGCTTTAAACGGTGGGGCAATTCAGCATAGGAGAGCGTGGTGTGTTTATGTAAACAGAGTCATCGGTCCATTGTAAAGCTCATTAGCACTTTGGATCTGGTTTATAAAATATTAAAAACTGTCCGGCGAAATACTATTTGTCTAAATGCCCTCCGGGAAACGAAGGACCTCGAGCGTTTAAGATGAAAACTGAGACATGAAGCTGAGAAGCCGAAGTAAATGGGAAAAAAAAAACGAGGAGAGATAACGGATAAATAAAAAGGGATGGAGACTTCCAGACGGCACAAAGGAGATGCAAAAAGATTTTTCAGGGGATTAGATTGAAAATATCAACAGACAAATGTTGTTAGTTAAGCGGATTGACTACTGGAAAGATTTTAATAGATAACAACAGAGATATGATAAACGTCAGATGAACACAGCCTTGTTTAATCGCTAGATCGATGTGGAAAAATCCAGATAAGTACAAATAAAGCTTGTTTAATAAACACACAAAGAGAGGAGAAATCCAGATTAGCGTATAAAAGAAAGAAAATTCAATAAATATCTAACTGAAACTAGAGTAAATTAGATCAGTACAAATTGGTGTGGGATTGATAGTTAGAGGCCCAGAGAGAGAAAGAGAGAGAGAAAAAGAGAGACGGTCCAGCGAGAGAGAGAGACGGTCCAGCGAGAGAGAGAGACGGTCCAGAGAGAGTGAGAAAGAGAAATAGAGAAGGTGAGAGAGGAGGAGAAGGCCGAGCGGGAGAGAGAAAAGCTCATAAAAAGAGGAAGAGAGATAAGGTCCATAGTGAGAAAGGAAGGAACAAAAAGAGAGTGAGAGAAGGTGAGTATGGGGGAGAAGGCCCAGGAGAAGAAAGAAAAGCTCATAAAGAGAGAAAGGAAGGCCCAGTAAGAGAGAGAGAGATTGTGTGGCAGGGTGGAGAGAGGTTTATTTTATTTTTCAAATTGTTACCTCTTTCACGCCGACCACGAACATGACTCCACAGTTGTTGTCTCCAGAGTTTCGAATTAAGATTGGTCCTACACTTATAAAAGTGGCCATGACTCTCCACAGAGTCCTTTTGCTTTTAATATCTGTGAATTGCCATGACTTCCTTGTGAAGGAAATATAGTAGTTTCCGATTGCTTTCTCCAGCGTTTTGAATTAAGATTTGTCTTTCAAGAATCGAGTGATCATGGCTCTCCACAGAATCCTTTTATTTAATATCTGTGAATAGCCTGACTTATTTGGAATAAAAATAAAATTCTTTTCGGTTACCTTCTCCAGAGTTGGGAATTAAGATTTGTCCTACAAGTATTAAGTGATAATGTCTCTCCACAGATTCATTTTCTTTTAAATATCTGTGAATTGCCATGACATGTAGTATGTTGCCAAGAAAATGTAGTATTTTATCGTCGTCTTGTCCAGATTTTAGTATTAAGATTTGTCCTTCAAACATTATGTGATCATGGCTCTCCATACAGTCGTTTTCTTTTTTAATATCCGTGAAATGTCATGACGTATTTGAAGAGAAAGTGCATTAGTTTCCTGTTTCGTTCTGTACTGTTTTCAATTCACTGGAACCATTTACTTAGCCTGGCTACCACGTAAGTGATGACATTTCAGTTTATTGTGATATTTAATCCATAACAGGGGGTAGTTGAAATACATCCATGCACATTATAGGGTTTGTGCGAAATTGGAAGCTGGAGGGAGAAAAGGTGGAATCATAGCTTTCCCAATGGTAATTGCGCATGCGTCAATTTAACGGAACCAACGGGATTTGGAGCGCTGCACTCTGATTAACAATACCGATCCATTATCCCTTACACCACCCTCACATCCAAGCTTACATCACCTTTTAAAAAAGAAAGAGAAAAGGTGTGCTTATTGTATAGATATAAACATAGGAAGTGCGATAAAAAAGAAAGAAATGTGGCTGAAGCAGATAGATATCTGTTGTGACCAAGTAAATGGTTAAGTAATAACAAAAAAAGAGTTGCAGATATATCGTATATTAACAGTAAGTACAACAGAAGAATATTACACAACATTCACTGTTCCCCGAAGGCTTCTCTCCAACTAATCTTATAGTAGGCGGAAGAATCTACCAGACACTCAAGAGGGAGGACACCACAACAATACCAATAGTGAAAAAGAAATGTGTTTGTTATATACAACGGGATAAGCATGAAGTGAGTAAGATGGAGGGGAAATGAAGAGATTTATTTGTCGCAGTTTTTCAAAGCCATGTTATTTAAAGCCAGAAAATTCTTTTAGATTGTAAGAAATTTGGGTGGATAATAATGACTTTTACTGATGGATGTTCGACTAATTAATCCATAGCTGGTGGGGGAGGTATACCTTTCCCAAGAGTATATACGTGTAAGTGAAATAACAAACCCGACAGCAATTGGCACTCAGCGCACCGGTTTCCAATTCCGCGCCGTTATCCATTACATCAATCGCACTTCCAAGATTACGACACCTGGTATTGCCAAGAGGTCACCCATCTAGGTATTGGCCAGGCTCTCAGTTACTTAATCTCGCTGATCGTACGAGAGCCGCTGTTTTAAATGATATGCCCATAATCAGGGAGAGAGAGAGAGAGAAAGAGAGAGAGAGAGAGAGAAAGAGAGAGATTGTGATTAGGATAGAAAGATAGACAGAAAAAAAAGATAGAGAGTGTATACTGTATAAATACCAAGATAAGAGACAGTAAGATTGACACAGTGAGGTAATGTGTGCGTTCAATAGATACCCGGATATATAAGAAAGCAAATATGATCAAAAGGTAGAAATAAAGAGTGTGAGAAACCAAAAGGTGTGCTATATATATATATATATATATATATATATATATATATTAAATTTTAAAGGATTATATTGAAGTTTTCGTCTCTTGTTTTGAAACATGAGACCTCTTATGTAGCGATTTGGAATCATATTTTAAATAAATAATATATATATATATATATATATATATATATATATATATATATGTGTGTGTGTGTGTGTGTGTGTGTGTGTGTGTGTGTGTGTGTGTGTGTGTGTGTGTGTGTAATGAAAAGTATATAAAAAGAAATAACGGAGAGAATATGTCTCTGTGCTTGCAAGTTTGTGTGCTTATTATGAACCAGATAGAAAATAGAGAAAAACACTGACTTGTGTGTATGTGTGTAAGAGAGAGATGTGGGCGGGGAAAAGAGAACACGTTTATGTGTGCGTGTCTTTAATCGATACATAGATAGGAAAATTTCAGATAGGCTCAAAGGGAGAGATATCTTACAAGGCAGAGAAGACAAAAAAAAAACAAAAAACAAAACAAAAAACGGCGGCTGAGCACAAAAGGAAATTTTAATAGATAAAACTACATTGCTTGATAAATAACTAAGTAATTAGTAAATATTCAGATTTCTACAAAAGGATGGATAATTTGACAAAATCCATATAAATTAAAAACAAACATTTTTGTACAAAAAAGAGACAGTTTGAAAAAGACACCCAAACAGGTTAACCCATTCTTCGCCACCTTGAAATATGTCAGTATCTGTAAAAACTGAAGAATCCGTTGATAATAACACATGTATAGTAAAACATCTGATATTAATTTTACTTTATAAAAAAATTATTAATTATACGTTTCCACCTTTAACCCAATCATTAGAATGTTGGGCCTTATAAACGCAAAAGTGTGTTTAATAAAAAAAAATAGTATTTGATTTGATAAAAGGAGACCTACGATAGATAAGTACAAAACAATAGGAGAGAAGCTCAGTAAATAACAAGATACACAAAACAGAGATAAATACAAAAAGAGTGAGTTTGACAAAAACTCAATTAGATTGGGAAAAGTCGCATTAGTTAAAAAAAAAAGGTAAGTGAATTAGACAAATCCTCGGTTATATGAGAAAGCGTTACGTCAATTCAAAATGATAGCGGATCGAACAAGATACATAGAAAAAATAAATTAAGAAAAGATTATATTAAAAAAAAGGAAATTGAAATTGACTGATAGCTGGAGAGATAGAAGGACATCGCATTTCATGATAATGAACGCGAATATTACAAGTAACAACACAAATAAAATCAAACCAAAACGAGAGTTAATTTGTTTGGTACCCATGCAGATAAGAGGATATCAGGTACGGTGAAAATGAGAACGAGTATTAAAGTACCCTGATAAATAGAAGAAATAAGAGATTAAACCAAAATGAAGTGAATATGATTGATACCTAGGTAGATAGAAGAATATCAGGTACGGTAAAAAAAATTAGCGGATATTACAAGTACCTTGATAAATAGACAAAAAAATAGAAGATATTATATCAAAAGGAGAATGAATTTTATATCTACCCAGGAATGATTCCGATGAATATGAACTGAAAGAACAGAACGTTTGTTAACTTGTTAATTATTGATTATTAATTATTAATTGCAAGGCAGTAAACGCACAAAGACACCAGGGTTGACTGAGTGTTAAAAAATAAGAAAAAAGAGAAACATTATTAAGAAACGAGTACAACAGCAGTTAACTTGAAGGATATTTTTTAAGCGTTGATATATAAATAAATATGAACAAATATGCGTATGCATATGCGCAGATGTATATCAACTTAAATGCGATGAGATACATGATGAGATATGTTTCTCTTAGCTTTTTTAAGAATGGCAATGCATATGTTTGTATCCCTATAAGAGTAGCAGAAAATGGTTTAAGATAGACAAGTATAATAATTAAACATATGCTTTATTTTGTTACTAGTTTTTTTTTCTCTTATTTTTAGAAAATATTAAACAAGAGAGAGGGCTAAGGGATTTCAACACTCTCTGGACATAGTGAAGGCATATCGTAGTTTTCTCTCTCTTGTTCTTGTAACGGCATTCACCCGGGGTGGGTTGAGCCGGCTCCAATATTGGAGTTTCATGGAAATTTGGAATTCACAAGCGGTCCCCAAACCCGCATGAGATTTGATTATAGTGGTTAAGGTTTCGTGCAGGACCATCCACTCTTTTTGAAGGGTCGATTACAGAGACCTGGTGCACTACGTGCCACAAGGTCACCAAACTACCCTCGGCAGGTTTTGAATTGAGATTTTTCCTTCTCCTAGACCAGTTGCCATCCAAGGCTATAGAACCCAGTCTGTCCTGCTATATACTATTTTCCACATAGCCGGAGGGAGAAGAAGAGGTATTAGCACGTAAGTGAATGTAATGAATTCGACTGGAATTCGAACTCGGCTCTCCGATTCCTCAATCCAAGCCGCTATCCATTACTCCACCGTGCCTCCATGTCGTAGTTGGAAACTGAGTAACTAACTGGATAGCAGAAAAATAACGTGTAGTGATAGTATATGGACAAACTTGACTTGAGCCCTAAATTATTTGAATCATTTCCCCCAATGCAAGACAGTAAACACACGAAGACACAAGGGGTGACTGAGTGTGAAAAAATAAGAAAAAAGCGAAACATCACTAAGAAGCGAGAACAACAGAAGGATAATTAAGAAAAGAGTAGAAAACGATTGACATTGCATTAAAATTTTTGAAGATCAACTTTGAAAAGCATGGAGCTGGAAATGAATTCCACAAGTGAGAAGTTCACTGAAAATAAACTGTTTACGGTTACTTCTAACCAATTCAACTGTAAGCCGATGAGACCTTCTTGTTAGTCTAGTACTGCACTTAAATTTATAAAGTCTAGTTAGCGTAAGTGAGGGTTCATCCGAACAATTACCATAAAATTATTTATAGAAAATGCAGAGAGAATCTATATTACGCCAATGGGAAAGTGACTGAAGCTGAGAAGTCAGGTTAGGGCCAATAATATTGTTGATTCTTTTTTGGATTATATCACGAAAATGAAAATGTATAGCAGGAGCACCGGCCTATATGTGGCAGTAATATTCAAGTATTGACGAATGGTAGACTTATAAATATGATAGTTTCTAGCAATTTATTCAATATAATCTTTCCATTTGATGTCAGCCGAGAATTTTAGCTCCAGAAGGGACGATGATTCACTCTTCACGAAGTCAGCGTCTATAACGCGGATGACAGACAGAATGGGGTTTCTCAGATGATTGACAGAGAGAAGTTTCGTTTTGGAGGTTTTGAAATTAACAAACCATTCCTTGTCCTAGTTAACAGCAGATTCTTGGTCATTTTTCAGATCAGCTGCCAATTTGACCTTATCGAATTCTATAAAACTTAGGAAGACGTAAACAGCCATGGTCACCCACGTCTTCGACTGGTATGCCATATAAAAAGAATCAGCTGTAAAATATTGGAGTAAAATAGTTATATATTTCGTCTGCAATGCAGCTTTTATTATCATAAGAAAGAATTCGTCTGAATGTATGGGCTTTATCTCAACGCCAATTATTCTGATTAAGAACTTCGTTATTGGTCCTATCTTATGTAGAATATTGGTTAGCTTGCCATTGGTCTAACCCACAAGTGGGCAAGTGTGGCCAGAAGCTCAAATGACTTGAGCCATTTACTGGAGAGATATATGGGTGAATAGAGACCACTCAGGCATATGTATTGGGCAGGTCCATTCTAGCAAAATGGAACAACCTAACTGGTGTATTGGGCACTCTCCTATAAAATGAGGTAAAATTATCTGGCCTGCTAGACAAGAGGACACAAGAAGGCAGCCATGTTAGTAGGTAAGTCTTCTACATCTTAGAACGGAAAGGAGCAAGAATATAACTATTTCTACAGGAAACCTATTTCATTATAAACTACTTAAGAAAATGACTACTATATTTATCAGTGAGTAAACGATGTTTACTATCTGCCCATAGCTGGGATCCTAACAGGTGCTACCAGCCTAGGTCAGGATGGGCCTCGTAACAGCAGCAATTAAGAGGAGGTTCCACGCTCCTCAAAATCTCCTGATCAAAAGCTTTGCTGCCGGATTTAGTTTATCGCCATACCCAGGACGAGGAAGTTTTGACAGCATACTGATTAAAACGTATTGATTAAAAAAGTTGAGGATATTTTTTCATAATAACTGGATAGAGAAAAATAATGGAGTGAGTGTGTGACATACATTGACTTTCTTAAGAACTGGAAATGACGATAGAAAATTGAAGGAGAAAATGTATAGCGGTGGTGTCAGTAAAATTCTAACTGTGTCGAAAAAAGTGATAATGGGGGAATCTTGAAAATATTTTTGTTCTTTGCATAAGTTTTAACGAAGAAGAAGAAACAGAAGAAGTCGCCAGAAGCCTAGCAGCGAAATCTTATTTAGAAATAGAAAAGAAAGCGCTTGCATTTGTGTAAGTGCGCGCATGCGTATGTCTCGTAGTTTGAGAAAAAGAGCGCGAATTTATATTCTGAAAATCGGGTAAGAGACTAGATATGACTAAAAGAAAGAAAATTACAAAATACGATAGGCAGATGAGATGGAAGACGGTAAAAATAAATTTATAAACCTTTAATGACCTGACGTGGCGGTGGGGCACTTAATACATAGTCAAGCGAAACATCGCCCCAAGAAATTTCCTCATTTCGTTTACCAGCGGGAACTTGCGCGCTCGACCTCACAAACTTCACACCAGTGAACAGTTTGCGTAGGTGTTGGGCACCGAGCATCGACTTGCTGTTACGAAAATAATCCAGCTTAAATGTTAAATGCATACGTGACCGGAAAAATGAGAGAAAAATTTGAAAGAAGATATGATTAGTTAAAAGAGGAAAGCAAATATAAATATGAAAACGGGAGAGAAAGGAATCTAAAATTAAATGAGAAAACCTAAAAAAGAATTACAGACGTGTAGCGATTTTAAAATAACGTGATTCAAATATTAATATTTTCTTCAGTTTTTAATTTTACTTGGCAATAAATCAAGGGTAAGAAATTGTAATTCGAATTTTATATAAAGACCATGGGGGTCGGCCACTAAAGTCGAAGTTATATACAATTAGCAAATTTTAACAGCGACCTTTACACTGCAAGCTACAGACATCAAATTTGTCCTGAAGAAAAATACGGAATATACGAAATACGACCGTGTATTAGTCGAGTTATTCTATCTATCTCACTGGTCAGCCTAAAACGATGAGTTCTGACCAATTTTTTTAATCAATTACTGTCATCCATAACCCAATACTTTTCTTTTCTCATGATTACAAGGTCATGAATGAGTTGATCGATGCGTGTTCTTGCTGATCTACTTATTGATTTTTTTTCCATAATTTGTATCTTGTACTACAGTGTGCGACATAAATACCTCCCACATATATCCCGGAAATACCTCACACATAATTATAAGACATTAGCAAAATGAAGGCAACATTGCCACTAATGTCTTACCATTATGTGGGAGCTATTTCTAGGAGGTACATATCGGAGGATATAAATAGAAAAAATAGAAGTCAATATTATATTAAAAAAAAATGAATTTTATATCTACCCAGGAATGATTCCGATGAATATGAACTGAAAGAACGGTTAACTTGAAGGATATTTTTTAAGCTTTGTTATATAAATAAATATGGAGATATATCCGTATGCATATGCGCAGAAGTATATCAACTTAAAAGCGATGAGATAGATAATGAGATGTTTCTCTTAGCTTTTTTTACGAATGGCAATGCATATGTTCGTATCTATATAAGAGTAGCAGAGATTTGACACACTGGGTGTGGTTTAAGATAGACCAGTATAATAATTAAACATATGCTTTATTTTGTTACTAGTTTTTTTTTCTCTTATTTTAGAAAATATTAAACAGGAGAGAGTCCTAAGGGATTTCAACACTCTCTGGACATAATGAAAGCATGTCGTAGTTGGAAACAGAGTAACTAACTTGAAAAGTTCTTGTAATAGCAGAAGAAGAACGTGTAGTGATAGTATATGGACAAACATGACTTGAGCCCAAAATTATTTTAATCATCCCCCCATGCAAGGCAGTAACGCACGAAGACACAAGGAGTTTTTTCGCATATTTTACGTCGCCACACCCCATATTAAGCTGATGCACAAATCCTTTCTTAAATTTCCAACAATGATAATAATACCAAAATTGTTTCTCGTATATTATGTTCGCATTTTTTTTCGTTTTTTTCATTCTCATATAAACGTCTTTGGATATAAGTGGTTCGAAACAGAATTTTATATATTTATTGTATCGAAAAATACAATTGTGGCACAAGGCCTGAAAAGGGGAGGGGTTGAGGCTGGTCTTCACTGACTATCCTATACCTAGCTAATCCGATTCACGACCCATTCACTCATTACAATTTGCCCATTCACCACAAGAACTCATCCATCACCAATCAATCCTCCTTACACCATAATACCACATCCTCACAAGGGGGGGGGACCTACAAAACACGCCCCATGCCATTAAAAATTTAATGATAATTATATACATATAAAAACCTCGGAATGAGAGGGGAGGGAGATGTACCCAATAATAAACTGAAAATATAAACATAAGTCAAATTGAACATAACTGATGTTAGTAGGGCCCGTCCAACCCTCAAAAACAAAGAGGCCGCTGTATTCTGCCCATGGGACAAAATCAAGAAGCTCTCTCACTAAGGGTGTGGGGAACGGAGATGAAAAATCGTACGGGCATGGGAGAATATAACGCTGACCCAGACAAGATAAAGAGTGGGGGCCAAAAACAAACTGGGGAGGTTGGGAATCTCAAACTGGATCATAACCAAAGAAGTGGCCAGGAACAGGCCGGGAAGCACATTTACTCACATTAACTAGGTACACAAAAGCTTGAAACAGAATTTTAGCTCTGCTCTCGATAATCATGTTTATATAACATCACAATTGTTTGCTTTTTACCAATGATCTTGTTAATATCCAACTGCTTAACATATATAATAAACCTGTTACTACTTTCAGGTGTGTTTTTTTTAGTTTTGTTTGATAGATTTCCTCTCTGATAGTGCTGTCCACGCCTTTATTCTTACCTTCAAATAAAACAGTAGAAATAGATACAAAAAGTAATGGTAAAAAGTTCTCAAGGTGTTCCCAATTGTCTAACGCCCACGAATGACCAAGCATGCAAATTAGCAATGAATATTTCAGTAGCCACTTATACGTAGATAAAAGAAGCTGTGTCATCTACAGGTCGTAGTCGGTAATATCGTGAATACTAGGTAAAAGAACAACTTCGTTAGATCTACTCATGAAAATGACAAACAGATAGAATGTGGGATAGATTATAGGCGCGCGTCACCTACAACAGAAACAATATTGTCCAATGATTTTTAGCATTTCCGATGAATTTTTTATTAGCATGCTAACTTTCCAAAGTTTGTTTTTTCAAAATATTTAATTAAAAAATAAATAAAATAGCGTTTCGACCGATCTATTTCACAATCTCGTTCGGGAGTGCAATATTTCGGGAAAAAAAAAGAGGATCTCTTTTCTAAATATATAAGACTAGCTTGAAAGTCCCTGAAGTGTCTAATTCCGACAAAAGGCCAATTTGGGCCGAAGTTCCAACTCAGGCTGAAAAATGGGGTCTTCAAATCACAAACTCCACATAACTTCAAAACCTCACGTCACAAAAAAAAAAGTTCACTTAAACTCTGATTCCTTGGCATTTGGAAGAAATAAAACTGATTTCCTCAATTCACAAAGATTTGAATATATTTTAAACTGAATTTAAAACAGGTTTTTAAAATTTACAAAGTTTTTGTGTTACTTTAAATCCAATATAAATTAAAAATTTTAAAATCACTATTTTTCTTAGTTATTTTAAAATTTGAATTTTTGCCTGTTCCCACCTCATCCGGACACAAATTCCTATGCTGGACGTTCAAGCACAAGATTAAGAGCAGGTTTTCAATTCTAGAATCAACCTGATTCCAAAAAGTTATATTTTGAACGTGTTTATTCATCCGTTTCTAAAAAGATATCGGCAAAAACCTATATACACGTCTACACTGTGATTGGAAAATTTTCACTGAGTTATCAGTATCAACGTAGATCTACGTGAATTCTGGTATTTTATTTAACATGACTTAGTTCAGCACACTGGCAAAAATGGCATCCAATGAAAATATAAAACAAGACCCCCCATCCGAGTAAGCGAGGAGTTAGCTGCCCTTGGTCAACGGTATATTCCAAGAGATGCATAAATGAATACATAATGTCTGAATATGAATGTAATGACTCGTTTTGCTGAATTTACTAGAGCTCACTACATACGAAAAGTAGGGATAGATAAATGTAGATGTATATGTACGTAATTTACACACGTTAGATACCTTGCTGAACACTTGAAAACACCCGTTTTAAAATAGTGACACACATATTAACATCCTGAAATTATGACTGATAAAATTTCCTTGCCGTTCAGTGAAAATGGTTCCAAGTAACAAGGGAATGGCTGAATCGAAATTGAATTTAAAATGAATAATTTAAATGTTCCTATTAATTGAAGCTTCCTGTTCAGTCTCAGACGATTTAAAACGACAATGGGATGGTCTCATAGGGAAAATTATCTGAGTTAAATTTTATTAAATGATTCTCATTTTTAAAGCGCATTGCTTAAATAATCAGCTATTGCCAGCAAATTTTAAATTTTAATTACGCCATTATTTGGTTTTTAATCATTTTAAATTTGCACAATTTGTTCACAGTTAATTTTTTTTCACATTCTTATCTCGACTGACTTGTCTTCTCAAAATAAAGAAAAAAAAAAGATATCAATTAGGATTAGAGTGAGAAATGAACCAGCTACAGTATCGGTTAATTTAAGGATGAGCTGCTCTTAAAATTAGTGAAACATAATCAAAAATATTCTTGTTTATTCCTCATTGACAGTTAAACTCTGACATCCCAAACAGAAAAGGGAAATAGACCAACATGCGGATTACAAATCAGAGATACCAAAATTAAACAAGAGCAAAACATTTAATTGAATGCGTTTTAACGGAGAACGGAAAATGCGTCTACGCAATCCGAAAGCGCGTGGGGATAGCGAAAGATGCCTTCTAAAACATAAGCAAAATATTAAGAAAGAGGAGAATTTGATCAGAGGCAAAGGTAAAACTTCTGAACTGTTATGCAATGTCAATAGTGGTATATGACATTGAATACTTGACCATCCATTCACAGATAGAGAAGAGCCGTGGGGCAAAAGTAATTAGATTGTGCAAAAGGATGATCCTCCTCGGTATGACGATAAACTACGTCCGGCAGCAAGGCCTCTGATCGAGAGATTGGCGATTTGGAGGAGCATGGAACCATCTGTTAACTGCGGTTGTTCCCACGTCCATCTGGAACCGGGGCCGTAGCTTGGGGAACATAGTGAACCGACCTAAGCAAAAATAAACAGTACATTTTTATAATAAATTGACCAACAATACATTTTTATAGCAAAATTACAA